ATCACAATAAGCACAGATCCACCTGCACGCCCGTCTCCTCCATCTTTTATTAAAGGTAACGCACGACTGTCAGTGAAAATGTTGAGCCGCAGGAGAGTGTAGCAGTGTTTCTTCAGCACAAAAATACAACAAAATATTTTGTGATTATTAGCTATTGAGCCTGGCGTTTTTAAAGTATATTATTTCATTTTGCATTAGTTAAAACAAGCCAGATTAAAAATAAACAGCACAAATTAGTGTTAATGGTTGTTTTGTGCACGTTACCTGTGCTGCTCCGCAGCCTGCCGGCTGTGCAGCTGGAGCCCACATTCGCCACAACACTGCTGGCCTTGAGCTGGGGCCTCGTGCCTCATCCCTGCTGCAAACTGGCCGAGCCTGCTCAGGAGCTCCCTGTGCAGCAACCCTTGGTGCAGCAGGCCGCTGTAGGTTCTCGGGTCTAGTGGCACACCCAGGGTTGGGGCCACAGAAACAGACACTGGCATGCCTTCCCCTGTGTGGTTGGATGGCACAGAGTATATGGAGGCCAGGTGTTTCTCAGAGATCCCGGGAAAACAGTCAAGAGTGTTTCCTGCCATTTGTCCTCCATCCTCGGGGCCTGTGTGCAGCTCTCGAGCACTGGTGATGACACTACCTCTCAGGGGCGTCCCCGGGCCTTCGTCTCTAGGCTGGTCTGAGATGCAGCTTCCCTCCCCTGCACTGGAGGATCTGCCCTCGTAGCTGTTGGCATCATCCACCTGCATGCGCTCTAATTTTATACTTCTGGGAGGTTCGTGGGATGAATCCTGGGCTATCTCTACACCGCTATGCTGAGCCTTCTGGGAGTTCTTCATGTCTACCACTGTGTCTTGCTTGGGGCTCGATTCAGGAGCTGCTTCAGGCTCTGGGCCAGGAGAGCTCCTCTCAGTCATGTGGTACAGTGCCAGGTGGTGTAGAGCTGTGGGACTGGTGTGGTTGGGTCCATCCTGTATGGAATGCTTCTTGGACATCAGCATTTGCCTCCAGTGCCTGGCCCGGCCATGGTCACTGTGATCTCCGGAGCTGTGATTCCTGACCGCCACTTCCTCACTCTCCTCTGCCTGGATGGTCTCCAGCACCTTCAGGCACTGCTCCTCCAGGTACTCGATCTCCAGAATCTCAGCAGCATACAGCAAGTCGTCCAAGTCCTCCGCTGTGGCCTGGAGCGAGGCGGTGTAGGCGTACTCTAGGATCTGCTGGAAAGTCTTGGGGGACAGGAAGTCCAGGGCGTAGCGCAGGCTGCTGCGGTGGAACAAGATCTCGAACATTTTGCTAGTGCAGGCCAGGACGGTGCGGTGCGCTGGAAACTCTTGGCCATCCACTGTGATAATGACATCACACAGGGTGCCGGTCAGACGCATCTGATTAGCCCGCTGCAAGAGCGTGCTGGAGTGAGTGGGATTGTGGAGTTGAAGAACACCCATGTTTGTCAGACCCCCTATCCACTCGGACCTTTGCTGAGCCCACGCATGAGGTGTGGCTGTCCTGCCTGCTTTGCTTTCAGTTCGCTGTAGGTCTGCGTTTTGGGGTGGAGGAATGAAGATGGAAGACTGTTAGAGCCCATTTCACGTACAGTATGATGCAAAAGGCAGATGATTATACTCCAGGGAACACACCAGTCAAAAGCAACTTAAAATGGTATTAATGAATATTATGTGAAGTGAAAAGCAAACCCTCTACCCCCCTATGTGATTTTTTAAAATTATTTTATTTGATGCACCCTACATGCATTTAAAAAAAATACCAAAGGGAGACAACAGGTCGATGAGCGCAAAGCAACAGTTTCCACTGCAGGTGATTAGTCTGAGGTTTCACTGAGAGCGGTCACGTCGCTGTAATAACGTCTGCATACTGAGAGGTGACGGTTCAATTTATCAAGCTCCTCACACATTCATCCATTCCTTCAACAGGTAGGCCTGCTATTAACAAAGCCCTTCAAGGGCTGATTAGTTCATTTAGGCGGCGCACGTTCATGATTAGATGTGTTACAATTAAGCGCCCTGCTTAAAAAAAAAGAAAGAAGGAAAGAAAGAAAAGAAAAACAAAAACCCGAGTAAGTTACCAAACTGGCAAAGCACGAAAATAAAGCGCAATCCGCGCATGCATGGATTTTTTTCTATACATCCAAACGGCTGAATGAGTGTCTGAATAATCCCTGTTTGATGTTTTGTGTAGTCGGACCACTCAACGGCACCTCGAGTGATGCTGACGGGCTGCATCCTCAACTAACCGCAACATCAGAGCGCATCAGGTGCAGACGCACAAATCCACCTGATTATCCAAACACATTGCGACAAATTAACCCTCCCTGCGCGCTTTTCATTTAAGGGGACGCGACGGGTTCGAAAATAAAAGACCCAATTAGAAAATAGTCCAGAGTGCATCACAGTGGCGTGAACAGTGTGCGATACAGTCTGAGCTCATTCAAGTTTGGAAAATCCTAAAGCAGTGCGCGGACTAAACTTAAGTGGATTTCCACATGGTTGCTGCAAATCGAAATTATATCAAGGAGCCGCAAAGCTGGCATTATTGTTCAGTGTTAATAATTAAGATGAGGAGGTCTCAAAAGTAGTTCATCGGAGCTGAATCACCTGACAGAAATCAACAGTGGACAGAATAAAGAGTGGCGGCTGTCAGAGCTGTTCTTACCTCCGTCTCCTAATGTCCTCCGCTGATTATCCAGGCAGTATCATGCTTACACATTTCACAGTACCCGCTCCAAACTCAGTCCTGCTCCAAGTAAGCAAATCATCACCCAGCCACGACAGTCAAACCAGCAGGGGAAAGCGAGACTGCCGAGGAGAATTTTCAAAATAAAACGACGGCCAGAGCAATGCGATTAATAACTGTTGATCTAACTGACTGTTATTATCAGGTTATAATTACAAACGTAGTGACTGTGTGGCGTTAATACATTGTTTCCAACATGCTGTAACTAACTCAAGAACTAAATCGTTTCAAGAACCAACACTATGATCACAGTAAGAGGGGCAAAGTGATCGAAATGCGTGCAAAAAGTATTTAGTGTGAGTCAAAATCGTTAGTATTCACGTCTTTGTAGATCGTTTCAGAATGACACTCCTGGAAAAACGGCACTACATGAAGGAAATTATAAAGTTGAGTTTGCACAAATATTCTGTGCATTTTATTCACCTAAATACTGACACATACATCAACATATTTTGATCAGTATTAAATGATGTAGCCTATTTTACACAAATTACTGGGTTTAACTCAAAGCCCTCACGTGGAAACAAAGGTAGACAGAGAGTAATGGTTACACTTATGTATTTTATGTAGTTAATGCAAATATTTTGTAACAGACGTAGAGAATATCATTTTATATTTGAAGACAAATAAAGAATGCGATTCTTATGAGGCTTTGCTTCTTTTTCGTTTTTTGCCAGCTACAAGGTTGCCCAACTTGTAAAGCGGTGTACTTTAATCTTTAGTATTTCAGTAAATGAAGTGGAAAAACTGGCCTGCAAATATGCTCTTGTGTTTAGGTCACTGAATCTGTTGCATCCTGGTGATTTAGTGCTTTAAGATATGCAACGTGTTTCCTCAGCGCTCCTAATTTGCATCTGACTGAGGAGTTTTGATTAAGTAATCCTTTACCATCCTTTTGTGCTTTTCCTGTGCATCTCTCTCTTTCAAAGGTAAAATATGAGACAACGATAGATGAGGGTAAAAAAAAATCCATCCAGTGCCTATTTAACTGTGTATGATTTTACCTTGGAAGTCTCAGAAATATCTAGACTTCTATACATTTGAGCTGGAAATGCGATTTTATTTACGACCCTGCATACCTCCTAATTTACATATATTAACATATGATTTTATTCACCTGGACCAGCTGCAACTTTTAAATGGTCCTGCTGGTGGCTTACACAAATGCAGATTACGTAGATTACAGGTTAAATGAACTGAATCTTTATTGGCCAGCGGCACTGGGAATAATGTAAGTATGAAAGTATGTCAGCTTGTGGCATGAATAAAGAAATGGGTTACTTCATACACGGTGAGAAGTAAACGCTGTGTCTTTGTCGTACGCACAGCTTGATTAAAATAAGTTTGACAGCAGGTTGAGGTTTGGTCTCTCTAAAGGGCGCTCAGCGTGATTTTCGTAACCCTGCATGAATATAATGAAATATTTCTATAGAAAATAAATAAAAATCACTTTCGCACCGAGTACTTGCAGTTTTACTTTGAAGATCCCACCGTCTAACTTCCTGTCTCCACAAGGCTGCTAGTTGCTGACTTTACCGGCTGCAAATCATCGCCGGGCCGACGTCACGGCTCGGTGTGATCGCCCTCTACTCCTCGGCTCTCCATCAAGGCTGCGGTCAGAGACATCTACAGCGTTTCAGAACTAGTGACAGGCTACAGGCGGAGGACTAGTTTGTTTTCCTGAAATAAGAAGCACACTCTGATTAATTCAGTGCGTTTACGCATCAGCCTGGTTCGTGCGCACAGGGCACACCGGGGAGGCGGAGGGGGGATGAAACTGCCTAAGAGGGGACAGTGGGTCGGTGTGGCTCCTGAAACTGGATGCCATACCGGGTCGCTGTGGTTGTTGACACTCTGACACAACACTGGTTCATGTCACATCAGAGGTACTGAGGGGAGCCGAAAATATCAAGCCCTCACTGGTACATAGTTTTGTCCGACACTCCAGACTGGAAGTACTAACTTTATTCCTGGACAAGCGTGCGTTACGTAACACGTGTTTACTTGTTCCCCCATCTATCCGAAGCATTAGCCCGAGGGACTTCCAGCACTAACATAACCTGTTTGCACTGTAACCTTTCTAAATCGTCCTGTGTTTCTATGACATGGCGAAACCAAGAGGGGTTCCGAAAAGTGGGTGCTTTCTGCCATCTACTGTTAGAAATCTGTCACTGCACGCTCCGGATTCAAGTTGTGCTGGAAAAATAAGAACGGAAAAGTGAATAAAAGCAATGACAAAATGGGACAGGACGAAATTAGATTTGGAAACCATTTTATTTTGTAAATGGGTTAGCACTCAGACTGTACACAACAGATATTTTCTGAGTTTGACCCAATAAAACCAAAAGGAGCATCCAGAGGCGAGAGAGCAAGGTGGTCTGGTGACAGCACTGGAGTACAAGGAGAGTAAAGCTCTTCTTTTCTTCCTACTTTAAAACTGTATCTGATTTTTGTGATGGTACAAAAAAAAAATATGATCATCTGTCTTAGGTGGACCACCTTGCTTCCTGCCAATGGTATCATCAAGCAGTCGCTCTTGGTGAGTGATTTTTGTACAAAAAGACAAAAACTAAAAAAAAGAATTTCAGAGATCACATTACAGAACACTTGAATAACAACTGGGGGGAAAAAATAAAAAAATAAAAGCAATGTGTATAATTATGCCAGAGCAAGCCCCAAAGGTAACGCTCATTAAATCAATATGAGCACTATTTACCCCCATACAAACACGGGCATGTCTATCTGCCTTGTAGTTATACGTTATGATGTACTGACTGAATTCATGCCGAGGCTTGAAACGCCTTCCTTCACTACAGCTGGCGATAATATGGTGCTGTGACCAGAGACGGACAGTTTCATACACTACACGTGTTATAATGACCACATTAGTCCATTTATCGTACTTTTTCTTCTAATAACACATCAAATAAAAAGAATAGGCTAAATTTCTCACAACGAAGCTATGCAGATTATCATAGAAACTGATGACAAGACAATCTATTGACACACAGGCACAGTGCACAAGCTTGCAGGCAGGAACAGAAAAGAAATCTTTGTAGTTTTTAAATAGTACAAAAAATGCTTTTTTAAATTTCCTTTTTTAAATGTTTTTTTTTTGGTTTTTTTTGCTTCAAATGCACAACTCAAAACTATGAAGCCAGACCTTTGATCTGCGTAAAAGGGAGGAAGAACTACAGCTCTCATAGCCGTCCCCCAAACAAACAAATTTAGCTCGAGATCACAAGACATTCGCTTGATCCACAGTTCTTCAACCAGCGGCTGAGAATCAGCAGCCGTGCTGCCTCCTGTTTGTTTGTTTTTTTGGTCTGTGACTGTTAGTGTTCAAGGAGTCGCTTTTTTTTCCTTCTCTAAATCAAATACATTTTATTAATGAATATTTTAACTACCAATCTGGTAAGGCAGTGACAGACTGAATAAATTTGATCCAGAAATGGTCTAAATCAGATCAAATCATGCACATCGTGTACTTGTGGGATTCTCTCAGCCTCTTTCCCCCCTGCAGCTGGCTGTGGGTTAATCCTGGATTTCATATAACCATAAAAAATGGCTATAATCCAAAGGCCGAACTCGAGTGTATGTTTAATCAATGCCAGCATATCTGCGCGTGATTAAACATCCCCGTAGCAGACGAAGTGAAACAGTAAACCTTGTAAACAAAACTTCACAACCAATTGCAGGTCAGACATGCAGAACAAGCTACTTAATGAGACTAGGCCACAAAAGAAGTCAAACTTAAAAAAACGCTGAAAAAAACGTTTACATTTGAACATTTGAACATTAAAATAAGAAAAATAATTTCTATAGTCAGTTGTTTTTTTACCTTTACATTTCTCATAAGAATCCAATACTTTTGCGCAATTGCAGTCCAAACTATAAGCACAATAGAAAGTAGAGTCTAATTTTATATATATATATGTATATATATGTATATGTATGTATAAGTGATCTGTATAATTAGAGATTGTTCTTAATCTTCCTGACTGGTTAAATAAAATAATAATAAAAAAATAAAATAAATCTCTTATGACCTACAGATAAACTCCTTGGGTGTAGTAAACATTTCATGAATGAGAGCAGAAATGAAAGCACAGTCAAAGTGCGCTCTAACCAATCGACACGCGTGTTGTTTTGAGAGTGGAGATAAGGGCACTGGAAACCAAAAACTCCTGCAGTGTTTCTTGCTCGATGCTGCTGCTGCAAAATGTTTTGGATAGGGCTGGGATGTCCCCGGCCCATCATGCTTTGCTCTCGGCTGTATTTGTCTGTATGACACTGTTGTGTTCTGCAGAGATCAGGGTGTTTGGTAAGCCTCCCTCCTCAAGTTTGCCCTTCTCATCAGAAAAAATCTTCCTGCAGCGGGAAAGAGACAAAGTTCAAAATTAGCAATCGGGACGTCTCACGCAAGACAACAGAAAATATCTGAGCAAACAACACTTTGTTTGAACAGTTTAAACCATTTATTCTCAATGACATCTTCACCCAATATGTAAGAAGACACTGTATTTAGATATCTTCTTACATATCTCTTCACCACCTTGACAACAGTCAGATAAAATAAACAGATAATGGCATACCCATACACCTCGTCCTGTAACGACTAGCATGCCTAAACTGAAACAGCAAATATTAGCTATTAATCGCTTTAGTTCTACTACAGAGAGACAATGGTAGGACGAGAAATTAGCCCTGGGCTTGTGGTATGTGATGTCCATTTTCATCTTTAAAGCAATTAGCACAGTTTCTAGTTGCTCAGAGCACAGAAACACCACAGTTAGAAGCTGTAGAATTAGTGAGAACTAAACATTGTGGTGATTAACAAAGGTCCATTGCAGACATGAAACATTGCTGTTAAAGTGATGGCTTTTACTTAACTGCTTATTGTGACTTTATTCAGACATGAGAGCAACTCTCAGGTACTCGAGTAGTTGAACAGTAGAGATGGAAAGTCGTGTTTTTTTTGTTCTCCTGACAGACATAATCAGTGACTGATTTTACAAAGTATAAGTTGGATTTAAGTGTTTCTTTTTTCTGCAACTTAATACAATTGCTGTAGAACAATAATGACTTTACTGGCTGTTATTTTGCAAATTAAAGCTGATTTATTTTCAGCGATTGCTAAAAATTGTGGGATGTGGGGCATGAGCTTTCTTCACTTCTGAAGGGAAGCATGCCAGAAGAAGTTTTAAGAACCACGGAGACATCAATAAGACGGCACGAATGAAAGCACACTGAGAAAGACAGAAGATCTGTTTACAGGATTTTTAAGGCTGCATCACTCCATTCACTCGTATTTATTTTCTTGATTATTTATTCCTCCTGTAAAAGGTCAAAGTTTCCTAACGCTCAAGGTTATTTCATCACTTCCTAAATTCTTCAAAACCTAAAAAAATATTCAGTTTACTATAAATTTGATTTTAACTATTATGTTGATACACGAAGACTCACCTCAACAGCTCAACACTGGCCTAACCAGTTGGGTTCTTTTTACAGGAATTGTATGAGGCTCGGGTTAGGGACGTCGTGTTGTCATGGTAACTAACAGTGTGCAAAACTAGTTCAACAGATGTTTAAGAGCTGTGGCCCTCGCTAGTTGGCTCCAGCAATACTAACTCACTGAACTAATTATTTATATTTGGATAATTTACAGTGCCAGTTAACTGTTGTGTCCAGAATGGTATGTAGTTGGGCATAAGACACCCTGCAGACCAGTGATCTAGACAGTGAATGACTGTATGTAAGCCGTGTTAGAGTAAACTGGGTAAAACCCACTTGATCACCACAAGTGGTGTGTAGACATTCACCCACAATGTGAGAAAACTGCCAGTGCTAGCTCTACTAACCTGAGCAAACTAGCATGACATGTGTAATCAAAGATGTAACACAATGGCTTTTCAGTGACATTTAAGATAAAATCTAATCACTGAAGAATTTGAATAATGGTTTGAAATGACTTAAACATACGCAGTATTTCGTGTGCACAGCGTTTAACCTCATTTATTAGTTTTCTGACCTGTGCGTGAGAATGATTTTATTGTCTCTGTTTAAGTCACTCACCAGGAACACACCTAGACTTATGAATGGCATGTCAAATTTCCATATTTATGTAACGAGCTTCTTGTCTTGAAAGGGGTTTAACTACGTTTGTGGTGAATGTTGCAAAGATAGAGACCCCACAATGGAGAACGGTCACAAACAAAACAAAAGCATCGTATCACTTCTCTATCCACAACATTGTACTAATAACTATCTTATTATCATTACCACAATTTACCATTACAATATTTTATATATTGTGTGGTCAATGGCAAGATGCGGTGGTGAATGAATGGGTATACAAATTACACACACACACACACGCACTCAAGCACACACACACTCACACACACAGATAAACCTCTAGAGGGAGCCGTACTCATCGTTGACAGGAGGAGCAGTCTTGGCCAGAGTCTCTGATGGCTGTAGAACTGGGCCTGAGGGGGGGTCTGCTTCGTCTCCATTGGGTAGAGAGGGGGCAGCTGGTGGGCTGTCTAAGCTAATGAGGTCTGCGGGGGGCATGGAGGGTCTTTCTGTCCCGTTTATCATCTCTAAGTCTAAATCTGCATTTTTGGGCCCCATGTCAGGGGTCAGTAAGTCATATGTGTCTGACGCTGATATAAGAAGGTTGTTCGATGGCAACGCCTCAAGATTCACAGGGACAGGATTGGAAGGAATAGGAGTAACAGGTAAAGGTGAGGGAATGCCTGAAACTAGAGAACCAGGGTTTACAGCATCCAGGTCTTCAGGAACACCGTGGATCACTGCAGGTGAACTAGTAGTAGCAACTCTGGCAGTGGGTGTGGTACTGTCAGCAGTTTGATCAACAGTTTTGTCTTTGTTAAAGGCAGTAAGGCTACGCCCACTGGAATCTGGGGCTGTAGGTTTTGAATCTGGGTCTGGTGCAGGGGCAGTAGTTGCTAGACATGAGGCAGTTTGTACTGGTGGCTCTGGATTTAAGGCTACAGTGTTTGGCTGTGTGGGAGGTTTAGTGACTGGTGGGCTTGGAGCAGGTTTCCTGTTGTCTAAAGTGGGAGAGGAAGATACAGGAGAGACAGCCAGAGGAGAAACAGGGGGACTACTTTTAGCATTCAGAGCAGCAAGTTTAGGAGAGTGTCTACGCTTCGGTGGTATTGGCGTCCCAGATTTTTGAGGTTTGATCTGTTCGGGGGTGCAAGGAGGAGTGTTTAATTTCTCCTGTTCTTCTGGGGCGTCTCTTCCTCTCTGTTCTATTAGCGGGGCCATTTTAGCTTCAACAGCAGCTGTGGAGACGAGGGGGGGCGGCGGGGCCGTGTTCGATTCTGGAGTCGGGGCCGGAGCCAGGACAGGGGTGGGTGAGGGTTCGTTGGCTGGGGTGGACAGGCTACAAGTGAGGGTAGTGGTTTCACTAGAGGGGCTGTCCTGAGCGGGATCAATTGTTGCAGTGGCTGTGTCAGAGTTGGTGGCTACGGAGGAGAGGGTGTCCAGTGCCAGAGCAGCAGTGTAAGCCGCCTTCCTGAGAGAGCAGGGAGAGAACAGAGACACACAGACTAGACACCAGGGTGACTGTGACAAGAGGAGGGGTGGCCCGGACGAGAGCATGCAGAGGGATTAGTTGGCTTTAGAAATTCACACAAACATAGACAAAGCAACTAAAAGAAACACAAAATACAGCAACTTTTAAGCCTAGTGAGAAAAAGAAAGAAGAAGAAAAAGAGGGCATCATGCTGTGAGTGGACATCAAAGGATACATCCCATACACACACCAACATGGAGTACACTGACTAGGAAAACTACTGTAGTAAAAAAAGGCACCAGCCTTCCTGCAGGAAACTACAGCACCACAAAGAACCACCTATTAGGGTTAAACAGTACCAGTGGCAATCTCATACTGCATAATCTACTTTTTTCCAGACTGCTGATATGAGATGGCTTGCTGAAATTGTCAAATGGCTTCATGAGTTGACCACACTCCAGAGGACTAAAGCCTTTGTGTTTATTTGACTGGTATTGCTTCAACCTTCATACAATGAGACAGAAAAAAATCTCCAAAGGCTGGAGAAGAAACACAAAATACAGCAATCCCTCTGGTTAGGGAATAAAAACAGAAAAGCAACACAGTCCAATGGACTCCACTCAAGAATGACCTCAACTTTTTCAATAATGTAAAGCGTCAAATTATATCCTGTTGAATAAATTCATTATTCTTTAAAGTGGAGTGCAGTGTACAACAGCTCAGAGCGGTAAAAAGGCCGTGTGCCGTCTGTCAGCGTTTACTTACTCTGGCTCTGTGAGAGGTGTGGTTTCATTCGGCTCTACGGGTCCTGCTGCGTTATGATTGGCTGAGCACTCATCCTCTGTTCTGACTTCCACTATTGGCTCTTTGGACTCATCTTTCCTGTAAGACAGACAATCTTGCTAAGCTGTTGTTTTTGGCCAAGCGGGCAGTAAGAAAGGATGATTCAAAAACAGCAGAAGGCCCACAGTGATCATCTATTTTCAAGCTTACAAAGTAATGTCAAGTCATCCATCTGGCTGTGCTTTCGTGGAACCGCACTCATGAAATGTAACAATCCGATACGTAATGCAACATCCTACTCAGAATGATTCAAAACGACTGCCGTTTTGTACACATGAAAGCATCCATTCAGTGCTGCGCTTCAATCAAACATCCTCATCTGTTTCATTGAAGGAAAATTTCATCTTACCTATGGGGCCATTTTATTGATTCATGTATTCTTGCTGTACTTCAGATACTGCCTGGTTAGACATTGTAATACATGTTTATTTTGCTCAAGAGGCAATCTCAGTTATTGTTTAATTACACAAGCTTCCCTTGATATATCTAGATATAGCAGCCCAAAAATAAAATAAAACCCTCAGCTAAAATTCTAAGTAATCTTCAGAGTTCATTCCTGAAAGACCTTCTGGGAAATGTGGGAAGGCCAGTTATTCTAAGCTGAGGTCGGCTTATTTAAAACACAAACAAAAGGTAAATTGGAAGATAAATAAAACCCTCAAACACATCACATTTCTACAAAGAATCTTCTTAATTTTGTCTTTCTTATTACCCACAGACCTGCTTACAACAAAACTGAAAATTATTTTCTATCTGGGATTTTATAAGTTAGGTTGAGGTTTTTACTAGTTGCTTAAAGCCCACTTTTCCCGATGTTTGAATTGACCAAACAATATGTGACCACAGTCATTTCTATCCACCACTTGCTCTTCGTGTTATACAGACTTTAAATAGTGACTGTGGCGTACATCACCAGCTGCTTGTATCTTCTCCCTGCATTTCTTCCTGCATTTTTACCTGAAGTAATGAAACAAGTTTGCTGTGTTTACCTTAACCATTTTGCAAAGTGCTTTGCTGGAGGATGTTGAAGTAGCTCATTTTGAGCTAAATGTTTATTCGAGGCAGAGGTGGCTTTGGCTGTCTGACATGACTTGCTTTGTCTTTTTGTTGAGCATACTAGGGAACATAAGCATGTGTTGCTATAGCAATGGCATTATGATATGATCTGACACAGCCCTAATAATCACTTTATAAAGCTGATATGGTGAGAGTGCTTGTGTCAGGTTGTCTGACTGTTACATCCAATATTAACTCTGCGTTTAGCCGTTTTATTCTCCACCAACTCCAGATGTGTCTTTATCTCCTCCATGCTCACCCATAGACATTACAGAAAATGTGGACACAGTCACCCTGAAACCACCCTTTTGTAAAAGAAGTAACAAAACTTTAAAGTAAAACTGTTGACTGAGGTCACAAAGAATAAGAGCCAAAAGTTTTCCCATTTGCCTCTACAAAGACTTTTTAGTAACAGATCACTTATCCTGGAGGCTACTGGAAATAACGCAGATTTAAAGCACTTGAATCAACGTTGGCTTTGCTTTTAAAAACCAAAAGCTACATCAGTATTTTATATACAGTCTACCTTTTCCACTAGCTAGTTGCTCAGTCCTGTTGTTGTTTGGTGCAGAGTAAGTTGTATATAACCATCTCACATTACACATGTAAGAGATCCAATCATCTGATCCAATCTTAAAATGAACATATTCATACGCTGAGTTGAAACAATCTCTCTGGTTCCACATTTTTAACTTTGAACATAAATTAGACATCATATGTGTGCCATCAAATACATCCGTTTAAAAGACCCAGACAACATGTATGTAAATATATGTAAATATAAAGTCTGATACTCACATGAAGGCTGCCTTGCCCTCCTCTAAGTTGTGCCCTTTGGTCCCTGTGCCTGACTTGCCGCAGAGACACATGATGAGGCCACATTTGTTAACAAAGTAACAGGTGACATCCACAGCCAGGAGCAGGAGTATAAATACTACAACGAGAATTCCTGCCCAGAGCATGATGCCCATGGAGAGCGGAGACTCTTCACTTAAATCTGCCACACAAGAGACGAGAAAAGGGAGGGCGCTGAACTAATGTAGCAGGACACACTTTTACAGAAACCATGAACAACTAAATAAAGTGCTGACGTGTTACTGTAACCGCAAACACTTCCATAAAACAGAAACAACTCACCTGCTATGAGCACTGATAGGTTCTAGATGGCTCAGCACAACTTTAGATGCTGTGTGTCGTTTGTATCGACTGTGCTGTCAGACTTTAATTATTTATATGACTTCATTTCTAAATATGAGGCATACTGAAGATTTGATATGCATGAAGCTGTGCATAAAAAAAAAAAACGAAAAGTATAAATATATATTCAACCCATTTATTTGGTAGTAGAAAGAAGAGCAAACCAAAGCGTACAGTGTGCTGCTAGTTACCCAGACATGTGGAATAATCTGTGCACAGAAAATGAATGTCAGGCTTTTCCCAGATTTAAAAGCAGTGATGTATTGTCACTGTTTGGGTAATATCCACTTTGATTTAGCAGAAATTACTCTAAAATATACTTTTAACTCTGCAGGTAATTAACATGTAAACAAGATCTATACATCTGAGTAAAGCATCCCAATTACGTACGTATAAAAATGACTACTGCTGATGACACTTGCAAAACATTACATGCTGGAGGAATATCTGGACATTTATCTTAGTAGTCCGCATAAAAATAAGTTGTTGTTTGATCATTCTTTAGGTGGCTTGTCAGTCTGTGCCAATATAAACAACTGTTTCCCCATTTTATGACCTTAATTGTGTAAACGTTAATATTACAAACCTTTACATTATGCAGAATTTTGTGAGCTATTAAACAATATAATACAGTGCTTATGTAAACACACAGGTCCAGCAGTCAGCCTTCACTCTGTTCTAATGCTACTTGAAAAAATCTACTATTGTACATCACTGTAAACTGGCACTCTTCTCTGTCTCTCTTGTCTAGTGCTGATGACTAGCAGTGCTAATGCTGAGCAGTATGAAACTGTGGGAGGTGGAGGATTTCCACTGCCTTTGGTTCAACACGTCTGTCTGGTCTGTTCTGAAACAACACAGCACTCTTTTCCTCACCCGTAACAGAGACACATCTGTCATGGACAAAGTCTGTTGTAAGTGAGTGAAAGTGTCCAGAAAGACAGCCAGAGAGAAGGCAAGCTCTCCTCTACAGTAATGGTGTGAATTTCCTCACGAAAACTATGAGAGCAGGAGAACAGTGATGAGGGACATGATGAGTGATACCAAAGTGTATGTCACAGATGAGCAGCCCTGAGTGGCTGTGGGTGGGGACAGCACAACCCAGACCACACCAAAATGCACACAGGTCGGGACGAAAATGTTCACGTGGTCCACCACACCAATGTCCAGGACCAGGCAAGAGAGCAGGAACATTGAGAGAGAGAAAGAGGGGATAAAGAGAGAAGGGGGAAAGATAATAAAGGAAGAGGGGGAGAAATGAAACGGAACAAAGAGGGGGAGAAAAAGAGAAGGGCGGGGAAAACAGAGGAAGAGAGAAAGTGAAAATGTGTCAGGTCTGAAAACCAAAAGTGGAAAAAAAAAAAGACGAAGAAACTGATTTCTTGTATTGAAAAAGGGGAAAAAACAGCAACACATCAAAGCAAAAGCACAGCACAAAAGAGGAAAACTACACCATGTCGACTAGATGGTGACTCAGTGGTGGGTGAGTGGAAAATGCTTTAGTTTGGAGAATGAATTAGGAAAAAAGTGAGAGGAAACATAATGGCCTGCTGTGATGTTTCAGTGAGGTACTCAAGTGTGTCTATCACCTAAAGAGAATTTGACAGGCTGTGTAGGTTTCGGCACGGTTAGTAAAGAACCTTCAGCTGCAGTTAAGAATTCAACATACGTGTTAATCAGCGGTTACTGAGGGTCATTTTAAAAGCTCCAACCAGACACAGACAAACTATCCACATTAACGGTAAACAAGGCTACAGACATTCAGAGGAGATCATTTTATTTTTTATTATGTGTGAGTGTGTGTGCCAGATCTGCAAGCACAAACTCAAGCTCATTTAGTGAGGGCTGTCAAAACTTTAAAGTGAGAAAATTCAGCCGGAAAATCATTTTTGGCTCACCACCGTCCACGAAATCTATTTATTTTTTCTATAGATTTATTTAGTTGTCATTCACCCGTCAGCGCTCCAGATTTAAAAATAGAACAAGCTGCTCTGGTTTTCAGGTTTGAGTTTGGCTCCTCAGTTTTCTGGCTGTTTAGTTCCACATTAGTGTGAGTGACCGGGGGCAGGTACGCTACCTGGGATGGCCTCTGGCTCTGAAGAAGTCCTGAAGGACATGGTTGCTGGCTGAGACTTGCCCTTCTGATTCTCTGCCACCACATAGATGTTGTACTCCGTGTCCCACTCTAACCCACTGAGAACTATGTGATCACTGACACTGGGCAGCCGGATTTCTGGTTTCCACTCTGAAGACTGCACCTAAGGAGACACAGATAAATACAGTGCATGCATTCAGGGTTGGAACTTTATTTGGTCTTGCGAAGGTGGAATTTTTAAGCATGTTTTCAAATTGCTCCAAAAACACCTGTAAGAGCTCGGAGCAAAATTTGTCTCTGTTTGGCCAAAAAATAATTTATTCATTATGAGAATATGAGAAGTTTTTCTATTTTCTGTCAACAAACCAGGTATTAAATAACAATTTCAGCCCTAACAGCAGCTTGAAAAATCACAGAATTAAATTTTTTTTGCAGTGCTTTTGAAACTACAGCGTAAAACGCACATGACATTCTAAAACCCACCAAAAAAGCAATCTTAAGACTATGTAAAGCAGTGAATGTTCAGAGAATGTTTCATCGTTTTACTTAAATGATTAAATCAGTTATCAAAGCAGGTGCCTTAGTTGAGAAGGAGCAATTGCTCTTTAATCCCCATACTCACTGGTTTATAACGGATAAGATAATGTAAGATGGGAGAGCCGCCATCATCCTGCTTGATCCAGCTCACTCTGAGGGAGTTGCCTTTACGTTGAAGTGCTCCTTCAAGTTTAGGAGGATTAGGATTCCCTACAGGGACACAGGAGCAAGATGGAGGTCATTTAATGGCTCATTTCAAGAGGTGCAGCGAGCTGGAGGGTTATTTCTTTGAAAGAGGCAGCACTGTCAGTCCACTTTTCCATTTTGAAATAAAGGAAAAAGAAAACTTTCAGTCCAAAGTTTGATCTTGGATGCTCTCCTTATTGTTGACCTTTTAGGTCACTTAACCTCCCTTAAACGCTCTCCTAAGGCTGGCTTGTGTTACTAATTAGTGAATGACACACAGCCGCATGCTTATCTGATTCATCAGAGTTGCTGCTGTTGCTGAGTGACATCAATTGGCAGATGGACATCGCACCAGTGTCACACCAGGCTTCAGGCTAAAGAGTTATTTATCATTAACTAAGAATACATATACAAGATTGCCAAGTTCCAGCACAATAACAGGGTTTGTCTTTAATTGTTGTATAGTTGTAACTACTGGCATGGAAATCGCACAGAATTATACTAACATATGTCTTGTCTGTCTTAAACCTGTAATCATTTATCTATTAAACACTGATTACATAACAAACACCATTTAAGTCTAATAAAAATGTAGTCAATATAATTTAAATTTATTCCAAATTATTTTTCAAATTTATTTTTCTGACATCTTCTTGTGTCCATTGCTGACAGGGTGGAGGTCCTGGGGGGCAGTTGAAACTCTCTCTCCAGATAGATTAAAAAATTAAAATGTTCTGCATCAAATGAGACCACTGAATTTATGCATTAGCATCACATAAAGGCTACCTGATATGTAATTGAAAACTAGACGTCCTTTGTTTGTTTTACAACCTAAACTATTGAGTTCTGCCACAGTACACATATATCATTTTTCCAATTGCTTAAAATAGAACTACAGACTGATTTCAGTGACCTAAAAATATTCTAGTGTTTCCTCCAGTGTTACTAAGTAGAGCCAAATCATCAGCTATGAGCTGATGGAGAAGTAAACAATTAATCCTGTATTTCTGGTAACTAGCAGTCTAAATAAATTTCAGGAATGGTTTGTATTCATAAGTATCTGTCATAAGTTTCCAAAGTATAAGGTAAAGTCAAATATCTTGTCTAAACAACAGTTCAAAACTCTAAATTTCAGTTTACTGTCATAGAAATCTCAGAAAACATTCAAATTTGATGAGCTGGAACACTGAACGTGGCTGCTGATTTGTTTTGTCTCAGATATTTGATTAATCAACAAATTATTGAAGCTCTAAAGGTTAATGCACTTACAAACAGGTAACGAGAAAGATGTGCACAGTGGTTAACATTCAGGATTAGATAAAGTCAGTAAATGCCAAGCTGCTTAAGCCTCAGGTTAAATAAGATTAAAAAAATATAGAAAATATATACCAGCAAGCCTGCTGCAAGGATGAGTATTTTGTGGGATGGCTGGAAGATACTGACTATGTTTATTACACTTGATTTATAGCAACACATCCTATAAGTAAGGAGGTAACATCCCTCAGGTGACAGGCTATCAATACTATGTAAGTGAAGCTAACAGTAAACACTGCTGACTGTTATTTAAACAATAAATACATTCTCGTTCTCTACGTTTACATTTATCTTGCTCAGGCAAATGTCTAGATGACTGATTAATGTGTTACACGACTGCAGAAGCAAACTATGTGCTGTTTTATTTGCTGAATTCTTTAGTTCAAGTTAGGAATCGTCAGTCAGGAATCTGCAACAGAACGTTACCTTCTGCAGAGTGGAGGGAATCATCAGCAACATGCAAGCCAAATAACAGTCGCAGAGACATAAAATGACACATGTGAGTGGTTGAAAGAGGAGGAAGAGCATGAAAGGCATAACAGACAACAAAACACAGGTACAGGTTGAGGATAGAAAACTGAAGTGACCCAGAGACAAACCAATACTGAAAAATAATAAATCACAGCTCCACAAGCTGACAAACTGCACAGGGATTCCTCTGTTTGGATTCTAAATGAGAAAAGTGCAGAAGACATCTAGCAGCTTTATGCTCTCGACAATTTGCAGCTAACTGATTAATCACTGCTGATGGGCCTAATC